TGTCACTGCTCCCCACCAGAAGACACATGGACTTTTCTGTGGAAAGAGATGCTTCTAAGATGGAAAATCCCTGGGGGTGTTCCTCCAAGCCTTCCTTTGGGGAGGTAGGTGGACTCACTGTTCTGTATTGGGGGAGGGGCACCTGGAGGTACAGAGAATCTAGAGGACCCCTCATATACCGGAAACTCCATGTCCATGTGCAGGGCTCAGGCAGGCTTGTGCCAGCTGCAGCTGGGCCTGCTGGGCTGGGGCACTGTCCTCACATGCTGTCCATGGGTGCAGCTCCATGTGACCTCCTTTTCTAGAAAAACTCATCAGGTGGAGCCCATGGAGGACGATGACTAGTTGGTATCTCAGAGGAGATGGGGAGGTCCCAGAGGTAACCAAGGCATCTGTTCAGAGGTGGCCAACATGGTCAGCTGTGGTTGGCAGCCTAGGTCTGTATCCACAGGCCAGGCAGCAACATGCAACTATGGGCAGTGAACCCCCCTAGTTCCTCAGCTAGACAGTCGGAGTGAGCCCTGCCTGCCGCCATGTGAGTGAGCATCTGCTTGGGAGAGCAGGCAGCAGCTCTGAGCACCTAAGATGCTTGCCGTCAGAGGCATCCAGTGAACACCAGAAACTCCTTGCCAGCCTCAACCTGTCTTGTCAGCTGACATGGACTTTGTCCCCAGGGCAGTGCCATCTCAAGGGTTCACCTGACCCTGTCAAGGCCTCACCACAGGGTCCACATCTCTGGCCTAGGGCCCACAGGGTCAGCAGATGGACATTGGAGGATGAAGGGCATGGTCAGGTATGGACTTGGAGTCACCCAAGGCTGTCAAGGGAAGACCAGCCCCCACTGGTTCCCAGGGACAGGCAGATCCAGGGTGGTTGGCCACACCTTGTGGATGCTGTACCAACAAAGTGCTGGATGCTGCCCTATGGCTCCAAAACTTTAGCAAGTCATGGGGGCAGTGTAGGGTCACTCTGCTCTCTGCTAGCACTCCAGTGGACATAGGACATGCACTCCCAGGGGGCTGAGCACTTAGGCCAGGGTAGAGGATTTGCCCCCCAAGACAGGGGAGACCCCAGAAGTCTGGGCCTGTGCAGGGTGGACTTGCTCCAAGACCTATGTGACCCAAAGACAGTGAGGCCTGATAGGCAACCCCACTGCCCCCAGGGCTGTGCCCAGGCCTGACAGCAGTCTCCCACTGGAACATCACTTACTGGGGCGTCACCCTCCATGACACCAAGGCTGGGGCTGGCTGAGGGCCCCTCTTTTGTTCTGGGGTCCTTGCCACCTCCTCTCAGCTGACTTCCCCTTTCATCAAGGCCCCTGGGCCTCTCTGGAGTGGACCCAGGCCTGGAATCCTTGCCCAACTGGCAGCCCCTCCCACAGCCCAGACAAGAGAGGCAACTGGGCATCCATCCATGGGCCTCTGCAGAAGACAGAGGAAGGAGGAGTGGAGAGGGGAAGGAGTTTTTCTTAAAGGGAGGAAGAGTGACCCTGCCCTGCGGCTGGGTTGGGGAGGTCTGCAGTGGCAGGGGAGGGAGCACTGTTGATCCATGGAGGGAGGGAGCACTGTTGATCCATGGAGGGAGGGAGCACTGTTGATCCATGGAGGGAGGGAGGAGGGGTGGGAAGGAGGGAAGAGGAGGAAGGAAGGGGAGGAGTGGTGGGGGAGGGGTCCTGGGGGCCCATTAGCACAGCACTAAAGTCTCTGATTGCTGCTTTTGGTGCAGACAAGGCAATTTCCGCTGGGATTTTCTTTCTTCCAAATTCCACCCACTTTTACAGGTTTTTAAAAACCCGCTCACAGAGTAGTTGATGGCGGATAATTTCCTCTTTCCCTCACTCACTTTTTGAGGCACCAGAAAGGTCTTCAGGGACTGGGAAGAGGGAAAGAAACACAGAAGTGGCTATTCTGTGGGGTTGCAGGCTCCTCCCCAGGGAAACCCCAAGGTGCCAGCCCCAGGGCCCATAAGTGCCCACCCAGGCCTAGGTATAGCCCCGCTCTCCCCTCAGCCCCTGGGGACAGTCCTGTGCCCTGCTTCCCAGGACCTTCCCCAGCCCACCTCCCCTGGCTTCCCACTCAGACAACTTCAGGCCAGTTCTCTGGGTACCACTCCGAGGACAGCTGTCTCTGCTCAGTGCTTAGTGGGCAGCTCACAGCAGGTCCAGCCCCTGGAGACACGCAGCACAAAGAGAATCTTCTGCAGAGATAGTGACTGTCTGGACTGGGGGCATGCAGACACTGCCAGACACACCTTGGCAGCCCCAGGAGGGCCTTGGAGAGAGGATAGAGGGGAGAGGATGGAGATGGGGAGGAAGGAGGGGAAAAGACAGAGAACAGAGGATGGAAAATATGGAGAAGGAGACGGGAAGGGTGGAGAGGGGAGGAAGATGGCAGAAGGAGGTCAGAGAGGAGAATGGAGGGGGAAGACAGAGGGAAGAGGATGAAGAAAGGATTCAGAGAGGGGAAGGATGGGGAAGAGGAGGATGAAGGGGGAGGACAGAGGTGAGAGAATGGAGAGGAGCGGGATGGAGGAGGCAGGGCTGTGAGAGGATAGAAAAGGTGGAGGAGATGGGGAGGGCACAGAGGGGAGGAAGGAGAGGAGGAGGATGAAGGGGAGGATGGAGGGGGAGAATAGAGAACAGAGGATGGGAAATATGGGGATGGACAGAGAAGGGAGGACAGAGAGGGGAGGACAAGAAGAGGAGGACAGTGACCAAAAGGACAGAGAGAAACCCTAACCCTAACCCTAAACCTCATATGTACTGATTTACATATTTGCTTGTAATGACTCTTTCTCTATAAAACCAAACTGTAATCCAGCCACCTTGGGCACATGTTCCCAGGACCTCTTGAGACTGTGCCTTGGCCTTGGTCACGCATACTTGGTTCCTAAAAAAGCTCTTTAAATGTTTTATAGCGTTCAGGATCTTTCATCAACATTAGGATTCAGGATGGCTGTTTTATTTTCTTAGTTCTGCTTTCTGTCATTTTCTCTTATCTCTAGGACACAGGCATCACTTTTGCAATCAGAAAAGATCTCTGATGAAAGTATATAAACGTAGCCTCTGGAAAAACATTTACAGCAAGCAGAAACACACAAAAGTGAAACTAGATGAAGCGTCACAATTTCAAATTTGCTGCGATGATCTATTTTGCAAGAGAAAAAATAAAATGTATTTGCAGATACGCCGCGACCCTCTATGAGCCCCGTGGTACCTCGGGCCTGGCGCCACGTGCATGCGAGGCCCTCCTTCCATCTCTCAGCCTCACAGTCCCATAGGCCAGGGATGGCGTGCAGGGGAGGAAGAGAGCCAGGTCAAGGATACACTGAGCTCGAGGTGCTGCAGACCGAGCAGTCCCACCGTATCCCTGCCATAGTGTGGGAACACCACACCACAGACCTGCTGGTGGAGTTGCCAATGTTCTGTGAACAGATGCCTAAAAGCAACCTCTCAAGGCAAGAAAAGCAATTGGGCTATGAGGCCTCTGTCAACCTGGGGTCTGTATTTCTTTCCATATATGAATGTGTCCGTCATGATCTGCTGCGTAGCAAATCACTCTCCACATCTCAGCTGAGGTTCACACATATTTGCTGTCCCCCAGTTTCCATGAGGTAGGAATACTCTTCCGACAGAGCAGGACCTCTGTTCCTGATGTTTGCACAGTGTATTCCTATTTCTCCTCCCAAACTTGCAGGAACATAAGCACTGCCACTCTCTACAGATGCAACAGTTCAGTTCTCAAGAAATCCAGTGAGCAGGGAATCTGGCCTCATGGTAGGATCTGAGCTCCTGTGCTGGAGTTAGGAGCCCCGAGATTGGTGCCTCAGCCCCAGGTGTAAGCAAAATCACCCACGCAAGGGGCTTACAGCTTCTGTAAAGCAGGCCCAGGGGGAGCACAGGGAGCCATTCTAGGACAAGCATTGTGAGTAGTGGGATTAAGTGTGAATGCTGAAGTTTTTCTCAAAAGAATACTTGATATGGTTAGTTTTTTGTTTTGGGGGGGATTTGTTTGTTTGTATGTTTTTAAATTATAAGACAGACTGCCATGAGGCAAGTGTCAACAGTCCCAGCTCTGGGCAAGCTCCTCTGAAACCTTTTCTGGGGCAGGGATAGGTCTGACCACATCTGGAGCCTACCCCTAGTGTGGAATCAGGGACTGCATTTGGGGCTACAAGGCCCCTGTTAAGCTGGGATCTGTATTTCTCTCCATTTATGGACAATGTGTCAGTTATGAACTGCCACATAGCAAATCACTACACCACAACTGAGGCCCACACACTCTACCCCTATCTCTCTCTCTCTCTCTCTCTCTCTCTCTCTCTTCTCTCTCTCTCTCTTTCTCCCTTTCTCTCTCTCATCTCTCTCTCTCTCCCCCCCATCTCTCTCCTACATCTCTCTCAGTTCTACTTTTATCAATCTATGGCATAATTTCTCTCTCTCTACACATACATGGACAACTTTGTTTTCCCATAGTGAAAATTGAATTATCTTTTGCAACTACGTATTTGACTCAACTGTGGAGAAATATTTACATGAAAAGGAACTCGGAAATACAACAAAGCAATGTATTTGAAACACTTTAGCAAACAGCCTTGTCTGCAAAAAGCAGTTAGTGGGGCTGGGTGAACAGGCCGATGAATTCCACATGGAGATGTTTGGATTGGAAACAACCGAAAATACTTCAAGGAAACTCACTCTGCATTACACTTTCTTTTTCAGACATTTTATTTAAACTTGGCTGCAATTTAACACACAGTCCACTGCAAACAAATGAAAGTCTCCACAAACTGGTGGGAAAACAGAATTCTTATTAGCCAAGTGATGTTCATGGCTCAAGGGAGGAGAAACTCCTTTCAGATGACTCTGGAAGGAAAAGACCCCAGACAGGGCGATGCTGTGACTCATCAGCCAGCTCCTCCTCCTCCTCCCACCCCACCCACCCTTATGTCCCTCCCTCCATCCCTCCCGGAGCTGTAACTCGGCAGAGAGCAAAAGACAACCTCCCTCTCCCTTCCTCTCTCAGTGGCAGCCCACCCTGCCCTGGCCCTTGCTGGATGGTGACAGGCAGGTCTGAGCCATGAGACTGGCTTGTGTCCTGCTGCCCCTGCTGCTGCAGGCCGGCTGGGCGGCCGCGCAGGACGACCAGGAGGCTGCGAGGGCCATCGCCTTCCAGGGTGAGTAGACCACTGCGTCTCTTGGCTCCTGCTTTCTGCTGCTGGGGGAGACAGGGCCGCAGGCCTAGATGGGTGTGGCTCCAACACCCCTTGGGTGGGACCCTGTTTCTTCCCTTGACACAGAGACTGCAGACTGGGGGACTTGTCGGGGCACCTGGGATCCTGGGCTCAGCTGCCTGTTCTGAGGAGGCCTGTGTCTGGCTCCCCTAGCCAGGCCTCTGGGCCCGTGTCCCCATTCCCAAGGGAACATCAGGCAGGGCAACTCAGAAGGGACTGTCCAGCCAGGGAGCCATGGCCTCATGGGTCAGTGTTCTCCCTCTTTTAATTCCATTGGACTCCTAATTGGCAGATAGTAAGAAAAAATGTTCTTACCTGCTCTCCCCTTTCTGAGAAACTTGTGTCTCTGGTAGTTTTAAATCCAACTAGAAAATCTAACGAGCAGTCCCATTTGTCCAGTCCTATATCAGGGAGACCTTGCCCCTCAGGGGTGGCTGTAAAGGGCCATTTTAACTCCCTGCAAGGTGCGGGTCACCTCAGCACATTCTGGGTCTCTCGCCTCCACCCTGTCCCCACTATGGGACATGATCCTTGGTGAGATCCTCCTTACAGGTGCTGGCTGACGGTCACCTACGCTTGGCTGGTGGGAGTGGGCAGGGTCCCTAGGAGAGACTCTCTGGGGTTCGGGCAGCCTTTGAGTGGCCACCAGGGTGCAGGACCTGAGCTCAAAGGCCCTCCCTCCTCCATCTTTGGCCAGACTGCCCAGTGGACCTGTTCTTTGTGCTGGACACCTCTGAGAGTGTGGCCCTGAGGCTGAAGCCTTATGGGGCCCTCGTGGACAAGGTCAAGGCCTTCACCAAGCGCTTCATCGACAACCTGAAGGACAGGTAGGAGGAGATGCACCTTGACCCTCTTCCTCCTGCATTTTTAGGAGCCTGTGGGAGGGAGGGGTGGGGGCTCAGGAGACAAGCAGGTGGAGTGAGCCTCAACTTCTCTATCTGAGAAGGGTGAGGTTACCCTGGCCCAGAGCCCTCCCTGCCTCTGCAGAGGTTCAGGCATGTCAGAGAAAGGCGGATTTGAGATGTAGTTGGCTCTAAGGAAGACCCAGATGACCATGTGGGACATGGGGGATGTCCAGGGTTTATGGGGTTGACCCAGCCTAGAAGTCCTGCCCAGGTGCCTGGGGGCCCAGCCCTGGTCCTGCCCCCATGGACTGTGAGAGCCTCTGCAAGTCCTGGACCCTAAGTCCTGGAAGTCTCTGACCCAGGGACTGCAAGGGGTGTCACTTCGCAGACTGGATTCTGGCTTTGGACGTGGCACACTCATTCATTTACTCACTCTTTCATCCGTGGATCTGTGGCCCCTGGGAAGCCTGTGCAAGGGTGTGGCCAAGGACAGGACATGAGGGGGCAAGTCCTGGGGGCGGGGCATGGAGAACAAGATCCTACCACCTGTGCCAGGCCCCACCCACACTGGGCCTCATGAGGGGACTGGCTCTGCCCACAAAGTACCCACCCCTAGGCCCCTACCAGGATCTGGAGCCTCCTGCCCACCAGGACTGGCCTGGTGTGCAACACAGGAGCTTTTGGGACCAGAAACTTAACAAAATGCCTAACCCACGAGGCAAAGAGGGGAGGGCTCAGGTGTGGTGGAGGGCTCCCTGGTGAGAGGCCCTGTGGCAGATGTGGGCCCAGCATTCGCCTTGAGGCACTCTCCACACCTTAACTCAGGCTCCCCATGCCTCATTTTTTCACCTGTGAAACGGGTGGGGTTGTCCCAATACTGCCTACTGGCATTACTGCAGGAGCCTCCACTCTGCTGAACAGGCAGGCAGGGCCACCTGAGGCCTCAGCACAGGTACTGGGAAACCCAGCCGGGTGTGGTGGAGAGCAGGCTGCTAGATCCCCAGTGGGCCCCCATCCCACTTAGAACCGGCCCCTCCAGCTCACAGGCATGCCCCTGCCTCACCACCCTCCACCGGGGTCTGTGCCCCACCCCAGAGGGACTGTGTGCATAGCTCCTTTGCAGGGCTGCAGGGGTTCATAGCCCTGGCTACTCTTCGCCCTGCCCATGCAGTCCGCCAGGCAACCCCCCAGGCAGCCCCCAGACCACATGAGAAGTCCAGCCCGGGTTGCCGGCTCCCCAGGACCACAGTCAGAGCCAGGCAACCTGTCCATCTGAAGCCTTTGGAGACAACAGGCCATGGACACTGACTTGAGCCACGCGGGGTCTCCCAGGGTCTCACACCCCTCCCTCCCACTCCTCCCTGCAGGAGTCTCCTAGCCCCTCATGCCCTCTTCTCTCCACAGGGGTCTCCCAACCCCTCATGCCCCCCCACCACCAGGGGTCTCCCATCTCCTCACGCTTCCCCACTCTCCACCCCCAACTCCTCGCAGATATTATCGCTGTGATCGGAATCTGGTGTGGAACGCAGGTGCACTACACTATAGCGATGAGGTGGAGATCATCCGTGGGCTCACACGCATGCCCGACGGCCGCGATTCACTCAAGAGCAGCGTGGACGCCGTCAAGTACTTCGGGAAGGGCACCTACACCGACTGCGCCATCAAGAAGGGGCTAGAGGAGCTGCTGGTGGGGTAAGCCTGCTGTCCACACCTCACACTCAGGGTTGTGCCCACTTGTGGTTAGCCTCCTTCCCATGGGACTCTGGGCAGGCCATCTTGTCCCTTTGGGGCTGTGCTCTCCCTGCCCCACTTTCTGATGGGTTAGCTCCAGCAGGACTCTGGCCACCCATCAGTAACCATCTGCTGGTATCTGGGGCCAGAGACCTGTTGAGCCATGTCCATGCTGTGATAGCTGCCCAGCCACCCACAGCTTGAAGGTCACTCGCCGCCCCCCACCCTATGGGCTGACCATCATTGTCTCTTCAACCCATAATGACATGGGAATAGAAGGACCTAAAATGCCCCAGGTCTCTGCCTCCACTCTGACAGAACTGATGTCAACAGTCTGAGAGAAAAAAACAGATAGACAGATGAAGAAAGAGAGGGCTGGATGCAGTGGCTCACACCTATGATCCCAGCACTTTGGGAGGCCAAGGTGAGAGGATTGCCTGAGCCCGCGGATTTGAGACCAGTCTGGGCAACTTGGTGAGACCTCATCTCTACTATAAATCAGAAAGTTAGATGAGCATGGTGGTACATGCCTGTAGTTCCAGCTACTTGAAAGGCCGAGGCAGAATGATCGCCAGAGCCCAGCAGGTTGAGGCTGCAGTAGCTGTGAGCGTGCCACTGCACTCCAGCCTGGGCAACAGAGTGAGACTCAAACTCAAAAAAAAAAAAAAAGACAAAGTCACAGAGATACAGAGACACAGAGACAGAGATACAGAGACAAAGAGAGATACAAAGATAGAGATAGAGACAGAGAGACAGACGCAGAGACAAAGAGACTGAGAGAGAGATGGAGATATATAAAGAAATAGCTAGAGAAAGGTTGATTTTCCCTGCAGAACATCAGTACTAAGCCAGGGCTTACGGCATTCAAAATCCTCTCCGAACCAAATCACTTGTTATTTCTTGCTAGTTTTAGTGGTCCATCTGGACTGAGGGGCTCCTCACAGGATGGCCTGATTCTGTCCCTGAGGGGATCCTCTCAGGATGATCTGATCCTGTCCCCCAAGGCCTGGGTGTGGAGATGTGATGGGTGAGGCAGGGGTGCAGCTGACAGCAGGCCACCTGATGGCCATGCCCCCGGTACCTGGACCCATTCCCAGCGCGACTTGACAGCAGCAGGATGCCCTCAGACCCAGACCAGGTGGGCTGTAAGTTGCTCTGTCTACCCCTTCCAAAGCTGTCCAGGGAGGCCACCAGGCGAGGAGGCTCCTGCTTCCAGAGCCATCTTCCTTTTCCCTTCACTAGTGTTCTCTTAAGCTCCAGCACACCTAGCTCCCTTCCAAGGATGGTGGCACCCATCTCGCTCAGCACTGTCACTGCACCGTGGCCCAGGTGGGGGCTCGGGCAAACCAGGCCCCCAGCCCCATCTGCAGAGGGAGTGTGGCAGCTGGACTGCTGGGTTTGGGACATGGCCTGTGAGCTCCAGAGCTCACCCACCTAGTGGGCCCACAGACAGGCATGATCATCTTGAGTGAACACACATCTGATGTTCTGGATGCTCTTAGGGTCCCCACACAGCATGCTGAGTTCCTTGATGTCTGTCCTCTCCAAGGCCCATCTCGCATTTCAGGGTGGCTTGTGTCTGGGGTCCTCTGCAGATCATCCTGTCATTGTCTCATCACACATATTTCTTGTAAAATCTACGGTGGCCCAGCAGCCTTCTGCTTAGGCAACTTCTTGGTAAATTGAGCCAGGTAGCTCAGTGGAGGTGGCATCTCCTGTCTGTTTCCATGTCTGTTCACTCTTCAGGGACTCCAGGTCCCAGGGCTCCTTTGGGTGGAAGGAGGCTCCTTTGGCTCCTTCAGGGTCTCCTGTGCCTCTCTTCTGGGTGTGTACACCTTTCCAAGGCAGCTTTGCAGGGATGTGAGAGCCCAGGTGTCTTTGTTCCACTGTGATTTCCATGTTGTGGTCCATTGTGTGCAACCAGTGCAGCAAAGAGAAGCCCTCCTCCCCGTGACAGGGGAGGCAGAGTTTTCAAAGTGGGTCTGGGCCTCCCTTCTGGATCTCCCTCCGGGCTCCAGCCCTGCCCATTGCCTTCCCTCTCTGGGTGTCTCTGGTCTGAGTTGAGGAAGACCAAGGGAGAGGTCTCACGCTGCCCTCCCTGCCCAGGGGCTCCCACCTGAAGGAGAACAAGTACCTGATCGTGGTGACCGACGGGCACCCCCTGGAGGGCTACAAGGAACCATGCGGGGGCCTGGAGGATGCGGTGAATGAGGCCAAGCACCTGGGCATCAAAGTCTTTTCAGTGGCCATCACGCCTGACCACCTGGTAGGACCACACAGCCCAGGCAGACAGGATGGGGTCCCCACCTTGGGTCCCTGCCCAGGCACATGTGGAGTATCTGTTTCAAGGCCTCCCAGCTGCCAGGAACCTCTTTAGGCCCTAGGGAGGTGTAGACACTCCAGCTGGGGACAGCTAGCACAGAGGTGGGGTCCTGGTATGGAGTAAAGGTCCTGGCTGTTAGGGTCTCGGCCTTGGGCCCACCTTGCTCATTGACCCCAGGAACCACGCCTGAGCATCATTGCCACAGACCACACCTATCGACGCAACTTCACGGCGGCCGATTGGGGGCAGAGCCGTGATGCAGAGGAGATCATCAGCCAGACCATCGACACCATCGTGGACATGATAGTGAGTAGCCCCTGCAGTGTGTGTAGGGCGTGGGGGGTGTCTGTGGCCCGAAGTAGAGAGTGACACAACTTTTCCATTTCCCTTTTCAGAAAAACAACGTGGAACAAGTGGTAAGAGCCCCTCCCCCACCCACTCCCCAAGCTGTGGTTCCAGGGCGCCTGTCGGTGTCCAGGTTCGTGTTCATGGCTTTCTGTCTGACTGACCTGTCTTTGGTGCCTTCTCCCACAGTGCTGTTCCTTCGAGTGCCAGGTGAGTATGGTCCCTCCTCCCATGCCCTGTGACTTCCTCCTGCCTGGGGTCTGGGGCTGACTGTCCCCTCGTGTCTTGCAGCCTGCCAGAGGACCTCCAGGGCTCCGGGGCGACCCCGGGTATGAGGTGAGTGGCTGCATCTTCTCCTGTGTGTGCATTTGGGAGAAGGCATACCCACAGTCCTGAGCCCAGGTTTGGGGGTGCTAGCCTGCCTCCTGAGCTCCCATGCACCCCCCAAAGAGCAGATGCCTGCGTCCACAGGAAGAGTCCAGTCAGTAGGGATCCCTGGCTGATTCGGGGGTAGGCTGCAATGGGGACTCTGGGGGTCCCCAGTTAGGGGGTAGAAGGCAGAGGCCATGGCCCTTTTTCGGTCAGCGTCTCTCCTGCCTAGCTTTGTTCCAGAAGGACGTTTCTAGAGGGAGTGGGGGTGTGAAGACATGGGTCCTGGGTCATGTGGCTTACACAGGATGACTTTGAAAATTAAAATTAGCTGCCAGTGTTTACAACTTGGGGGGATTGCTCATGAGCCTCAGATTTCTGGCTTTTCCTAAAAGTTGTCTGATCCAGTACTGTGGTACATAAGCCTTTGAGCCGCATGGCTACAGTCACAGGAGCACCCCTTGGTGGCCTTCTGTACTGGTCCTGCAGCCTGTGCCTGGGAGTTCTGTGGAGACCCTCAGTCAAGAGCAAGCAGGCAGCGACCTGATCCCTATGACTCCCATCTGAGTCTGGACGCATGGGGTGTGGATCTGTGCAGACATGGAGTGGCACTCCCAGAGCCCAGGACCTGCCAGAAATGACCAGGAACATGCTTTCAAACCCATGAGCTCTAAATGCTGAATGAAATATCTTTAAGACCTGGTGTGGGTAGCTTACACTGGTAATCTCAGCACTCTGGGGAGCCAAGGAGGGAGGAGTGCTTGAGCTCACCTGAGCAACATAGCAAAACCTCATCTCTACAAAAAGATCGAAAAAATTAGCCGGGTGTAGTTGGTGTGTACCTGTAGTCCCAGCTACTTGGGAGGCTGAGGCAGGAGAAATCACCTGAGCCCAGGAGGTCAAGGCTACAGTGACCTGTGATTGTACCACTGCACTCCAGCCTGGGTGACAGAGTGAGACCCCCAACTCAGAAAATAAGGGAAACTGCTAGGGGAGGGAGGGACATACTTCGTCAACAAGGGTACCTGCATAATCAACGTTTGTATACCTAACCCTGAATTGTACCCCACATCTTTATAACAAAAATAAAAAATATATATATAACTGTAAAACCCTTTTAAAAAAATGATTGAGTAGAGTAAGGGCTCCCTCCCACCAGCTTTTTAGAAATTAACAGGATTGTCCCCTAACCCCAACCAATGTTATGTTCCAGGGAGAACGCGGCAAGCCAGGGCTTCCAGGAGAGAAGGGAGAAGCTGGAGACCCTGTGAGTTCCTGACTGTGGGGTGGGGGAAGTTGAGAGACCTGAGGTTCATGGAACTGGGCTGTGGAAACTTCCAGAAGGGTGGCTGGTTTCTGAGCACTGATGTCGCCCTGTCCTACACAGCCCCCAAGTGGCCTCTCAGGTGGTCACTGCGTCCTCCTTCATAGACCTTCAGACAGGCCCTGAGAGCACCCAGCGTGGGGCTGGGGCAAGGAGGAGGGAGAAGGCTGGGCCACAGGGCCTCTCTTTGGCCCTCAGCCCACCTCCCAGAAACTGCCCTTTCCTGACAACTCCTCTCCTCTCCCTCCCATACTCCTCACCTCTCCCACCCCTCCCCCACCTCCTGGGCACCCTTGACTCCCCACGCCCCCTCCACTTCCTGGGTACCCTTGACCTCATCTCCCCCAGTTCTTCCTGACACCTTTGACCTCCTCTCCCCCCAAACTCTTGGGGACCCATGACTCCCTTCCCCTAACTCCTCATAATACCCTTGGCCTCCCCTTCCTCTAACTCCTCCTGACACCTTTGGCCTTCCCTATCCCCAACTCCTCCTGACACCCTTGACCTCCTCTTCCTCCTAACTCCTCCTAACACTCTTGACTCCCCTCCCCACTAACTCCTCCTGACACCCTTGACCTCTCCTCCCCTCTAACTCCGCCTGGCAATCTTGACCTCCCCTCCCCACAACTCCTCCTGACAGCCTTGCCTTTTCCTCCTCCAGTTCCTCCTGGCTCCCTTGACCTCCCCTCTCACAGTTCTTTCTGGCACCCTTAACCTCCCTTCTCCCCAGCTCCTCCTGGCACTTTTGACCTCCACTCCCTGAGCTCTCCTCAGAGACCATCTGGGCTTCTCTTTCTCTAGTTGGCCAAGACTCTAGGGAGGATGAAAGGCTGGGGGAGTCTGCCCCCCAGGGGCATCTAACCATCCTCTCCTCTGTTCCAGGGAAGACCGGGCGACCTTGGACCTGTCGGATACCAGGGCATGAAGGTCTGTGCTCTCCTTTCCTGCTGGGCGGGCAGGTCCTGTTGGATGTGGCCTGCCCTATGGGAACTGACAAGCCTCTTCCTCTGCTTCTGTTGGTGTAGGGAGAAAAGGGGAGCCGCGGGGAGAAGGTGAGTGAGGCCTGACCTCCACACAGGTCTCTTGGGGCACAGAACTGCCTTCACCTGGACAGTGGGCAGTGCTGGGGAGGTGGAAGGTATCCCCATCCAGGAGGGGAGGTACCCAGATGGAGCCCCCTCGCCACCCCCCCCCATGGCCCCTCACCATGCCCTCTGAGTCAAGGAGGGCTAGGACAACTTCCTGGGAGCTGGTTCTGCAAGCTTTGCTGTGAGCTCAGAAGGCACCCAGCCCAAGTCAACGAGGACGATTGTCACTCTCGCCCCACCACGGGGTGGGGGTCCCACCACAGTTACCAGAGACACCCAGGACACAAGGCCAGCCCTCTTTCCCAGAGCTGCCCTTATCTCTTCCCTCCTCCTGTCTCTAGTCCCCATGAAACTGGCCATGGATGGCACCCTTGGGCTGGGGCAGGCTGCGTGCACCCAAGCCAGGCCTCACCTGCCTCACCCTGATGGTTTCTGGACAGAGCCTAAGTGGGATGGGAGCCACTCTCTGCCCCAGGCTGGGTGACCATTCACTCACCTCCTTTCCTATCTCCACAGGGCTCCCGGGGACCCAAGGGCTACAAGGTGAGTGTGGTGGGTAGGACATGGGTGTTCTGCCCTGGGGCCAGTGCTACCTGACCTTCCTCTGACTCTTTGTTGCATCTTCAAAACTGGCAGGGAGAGAAGGGCAAGCGTGGCATCGATGGGGTGGACGGCATGAAGGTAACCACGGGGCCAGGGCATGCACTCTGGGGAAGGGACTGTGGGCAAAGCCGATACCCACCAGGGGTTGGGGGGATATTGTGGATGGCTACTTCTGGGTGAGTGGATGGTGTGAAGTTAGCTGTTTCTCACCAAGCCCCAGGTCCCAGCGGACCCTAACCTGCCCAGTTAAGCTCAGAGCACCTGCTGGGTGGGGCTTTCCTAAGAGGGGGATGGATAAGCCTAAGTCAAAACACTAGACAGCTGGTGTGCCTCAGTTCACCCATCTGACCATCTTGATTTTCAACTTTCTTCCCCTTTCCAGGGGGAGACAGGATACCCAGGCCTGCCAGGCTGCAAGGGCTCACCCGGATTTGATGTAAGTCACCTTCTCTCACTGAAAGTCAGTCCATATCCTTCTTCCAGCACTCTCTCTCTTTTTTTTTTTTTTTGAGTTGGAATCTCACTCTGTCACCCAGGCTGGAGTGCAGTGGCATACTCATGGCCACCCCAGCGTCAACCTGCTGGGCTCCTGCTACCTTCCACCTCAGCCTTCCAAGTAGCTGGAACTACAGGTGCACACTGCCATGCCCGGCTAATTTTTTTTTATTTATTGTAGAGACAAAGTCTCGCCAAGTTGCCCAGGCTGGTCTTGAACCCGCGGGCTCCCAAAGTCCCCGGGAGCCCTGTGGAGCCTGGCCCCTCCAACACCCTTAAGAAGTCACCTGAGGCGCTATGCCATGTGGGAACTTAGGTGTGATTCCTAGTCATACTAACTGTGGCTGCCAGTTTGAGGCCCGTGGTGACCTTGGCTAGTGTGACAGTATCATGGTGTCATCTTCTCTCCAGGGCATTCAAGGGCCCCCCGGCCCTAAGGGAGACTCTGGCGGCTTCGGACTGAAAGGAGAGAAGGTGAGTGGCTCACAGCCCCTTGAGGGCCTGAGTTGAAGGCTTCCTCCTCTACTAAGCACTGAATCAGAAACTCCTAATGGAAGCAAATTCTCAGCCTCACAGTCTAAGGGACAGACTCTGGTCTAAGCAGCTCAAGCCCCTGCATAGTCTCAGTAGAAGGAACCAGTGGTACTTGGGCAGGCAGGGTAGACCCAAGGAAGTGACCAGCCATGGACTCCACATCTGCAACTGATCTGTAGGCTTTCCCTGCCACTCAGGGTCCTCCTAGCCTCAGCTGTTTCTATCTCACTGCATGAACTGAGTAGGAGGGACACCTACCACATCCTTCTTGTGGCCACTGAGGATCTCTGTTCATATGGAAGTCAGAGTTTAGGAGGGAACGGAGGGATATTGTGGCTGAGCAGGCAGAAATTGTGTCTTGGGGTCTGATTTAAAGCTTACTTTTCTGTTGTTGGTATTTTTTTCCAAAATTTCGTATGGAAACCAGAAGTGTCAGGGGAGAGAAGGGAGATGCTGACCCTGCCCCCACCATGTTCCAGCAGATGGTTTCTGAATCTCAGCTTCAAGTCTGCAGATCACCATCTGGGCCCTAGGCTTGAGTTTGCCAATCCACCAACCCCACAAAGCAGTGCCATCCCTCATGAAAACTGGGATCTTCCCTATTGTATCAGGTGGTGTTTGACTGGACCTGACAGGTAGCAGAGTTAGAATGTTCAAGGTGGATCTCATGCATCTATGGATGGTGGGACATGCTGGGAGGTCAGAGGGAATGGAAGGAGGGCCAGACAGGATCACTGGTACCCAAGACAGGTCTCACAGAGACTCCAAAGGCTGCACCCTGGAGTGAGCACGTCTGACCTTCTCATCTTCCCCAGGGTGAACCTGGAGCCGACGGGGAGGTGGGAAGACTGGGAAGCACGGGGCCACCAGGAGACGAGGTAAGGATGCTCAGCCCCTGTGGATGCTGTGTGTGGGACCCGGCCCTGGGAGGGGTCAGGGAGACAGACACACAGTTGTATCCTTGTTCTCCCCCAGGGCGCGCCGGGAGACCCTGGCCCACCAGGAGAGAAAGGAGAAGCTGGTGATGAGGTGAGATCCCAGAGCCCTGCTCCCAATTCCTGAGGCCGAACGCAGGGTCTGTGCACAATTAATGCTGTGTCTGTTCCTCCTCATCCCAGGGGAACCCAGGACCCGATGGTGCCCCTGGAGAAAGGGTGAGTTGGACGGGGTGCTCTGCCCTTGTCCCAGCGCGTACCCAGGGACTTGACTGGTGCGACCCCATCTGGTCCTCCCAGTGCAGTGCCTGAGGTACCTGGGTCTTCCCAGTGTCTCTAGGGGTGGGTGGGACCTGGGAAACAAGGAGACTCCACGTCTGGAAGAACATGTCATGATCTGGTGAGACAGCCGGCCTTGAGGTTCCTGCTGAGGGAGCCTTAGCCCAGCTGAGCCCTACCTTCTCGGGCATGACTCCGGCAGGCTGTGACCTCAGCCCTCCCCATTTCTCCTCTCCCCTCAGGGTGGCCCTGGAGAGAGAGGACCTCGGGGGACCCCAGGTGTACGGGGGCCAAGGGGAGACCCGGTGAGTCACCGCTTCTGAGCCCAGGATCCCTCCTGGGGAGAACAGGCAGACACTGGGGCCAGGTTGGTTATCAGAGTCACAGGGCACATGCCGTGCCATGCTGTGATGCCTGGATTTGGCAGAACCAGCCCTCACCTTCCACTTTCCTGGATAAAGACATTCCCAACCGGGTGTGGTGGCTCAAGCTATAATCCCAGCACTTTGGGACACTGAGGCGAGAGGATTGCCTGAGCCCACAAGTTTGAGAACAGCCTGGACAACATGGTGAGACCTCGTCTCTACAGTAAATAAAAAAATTAGCTGGACATGGTAGTATGCGCCTGTAGTTCCGGCTACTTGGAAGGCTAAGGCAGAAGGATCACCTGAGCAGGTCAAGGCTGCAGTGGCCATGAGCGTGTCACTGCACTCCAGCCTGGGTGACAGAGTGAGAATCCTACTAAAAAAAAAAAAAAGATATTCCCCAGAGCCATTGCTTTGTTAAACTCTGGTATGGTCATGTGGCTCTTTGAGCTATGGTCACTGTGTTTCCTAGTTTTGGCCCCCTCCCCTACCTTGAGGAGATAAATCTCCTCTCTCTCTTGCCCACCCCCACTCATTTACTTTCTAAATAAACTATATTTTCCAATCTAAAAAAAAAAAAAGACATTCCCCACAGTGACAGCAATGTAGACACTCTCTGCATGGCCCAAGCCCTCCAAACCTCAGCCCAGGTCAGCTCAGTAGCGGGGAAGCAGGGGCTGTACCGGTCCTGGCAAGGAGAGCAAAAGTCTATGGGGGAATTCTCCACCTGTCCCCCACCCATGAGCAGCACCACCGGAGCAAACACCACCTGCAACACACCTGGCAGGGGCTGGAGTACTCTGTGTTCCTGTGACCTGCCCTGTGTGAACACACTCGTGGAGCCCACAGTAACCCTGGCGGCAGCCACTCCGTGTCTGGTCCACACCTCCCACAGGCCACACTCAGCTTCCTGACTATGCATGATGCAATTTACCTAACCGGCGCCTCTATCATCACACCTGAGCTTTTCTAAGTTTCTGCACATCCTCAAACAACTCCATACATCTCTGCAGACAGAGCTTGGGTTCCTTTTTGGAATCATCTTCCTTGCTTAAAATTTCAAGACTGAGGCTGTCCAGTCAGAACCCCAGTGGAAGATGAACCCGCAGGTTGTTTGGCTGGGAGGTCTTGGTCCTAGAACCCTGGCGGCTGCCCCCTCCTTAACTTCCCCCTCACCTCCAAGATCCAGTCTCCTGTGCCAAAAGCTGGACTTCACTGTCCCTGTGACCCACTAGGAAAGCTTTCCTGGGCCCAGAGGGAGGGCAGGAAAACTGTGTGCCTGGCTAGAGGTGGGGACAGGCCCCCCAACCCTGCTCAGGGAGTGCCAGGGCCCATGGGCTATGCTAAGGTGGGACAGACACTCTGGTTTACCTGGCCAGACCACTAAGCTTCAGAGGGCAGTGCCCCACCTGCTGCTGCAGACACAGGGATGCCCCCATCTCGCTGCCAGAATGGGACACCAACTCCTTGTGTGATGTCGGGCCGAGAGTTTGGGCCCAGAGGGAGGCGGAGCCCTTCTAACACACTCCTGTTCTCTGGGCTCCCAGAACTCCCACAGCCCCTGTGGAGGGGTTGGGGAGGGACATCAAAGCAGGGATTCTGCAACTTTGACCCCCTTCCAAGCCTGCTCTGAGGTCAGGAGATGGGCCTGTCCTGTGGGCCAGGCAATACCCAGGGAAATCTCAGAGGCAGGTACCCAAAGAAAGGGCCAGAGCGCCACAGCGCTGGCCTCCAAGGTGGGTGGGCGGGTCCGAGGCTCCAGAGACTTGCAGGGTCAACCACCCTCACTGTAGCGGGAGAGGACAAGTGCAGAGAATAGCCTGCAGGACACAGGCCTGCAGGACCCTTGCCCATGGCCTCCTAAGAAAGCCAGTCCCTCCCACAGATGTACTTGTAGGCCAAGAACCAGTTCAGCAGGGCCAGGATAGGGGCAGTATCCAGAGGGAAAGGCTGAGCTGCTGCATGCCATGGTGGACAGCTGCCTCCTGGCCCTGAACATGCCACACCCATAGCCCTTGTCCACTGACCCTGGGGCAGTGTCCTCCCTGGAAATGGACTGACTTCCATGCTCATGTGCCTGTTTCTCCCCAGGGTGAAGCTGGACCTCAAGGTGACCAGGGAAGAGAAGGCCCCGTTGGCATCCCTGGAGACCCGGTAGGAAGCCCAGCTGTCATGGGGGGTGGGGGCATCCACCACTCAGTCTGGTTGGCCAATTCAGGTCTTGGAGACAGGAAAGCTCCAGTTGCTCACACACTGGGGGTCTTTCCATGTCCAGTTGAGTGTTCCTCATGCAAGGGTGTGTTCCCATAGCCCGGGGATGCCCTGGGCTTGGGCCAGCTGCAGGAAGCCAAGGACAGCCTTAGCCACACGGGGTCTGCATTGGGGAGGGCAAGGCCCAGCTCCTGTGGTCCCCAACATGCCAGGGACCCTCCCAAGGCTGCCAGGACACAGAGAGGGTGGCAGGGCAGACCCCACCACCCCAGAGTTCTGACCCTCAGAGTTGGGAGGGTGTCCTGGGAGTTGCTGGAGAAGGTTTGCATGGGTAGCGGTGCAGAGAACTTGTGGCATCAGCTGGGGTATGAGGAGTAGACAGGGCCAGTCAGAGCCATGGGCCCTGGAGATGGGACAGGGAGGATGGACAGTGCCCAGAGGAGAGCTCTGTGGTCCCAGGTGGCCTATAGGTGGGGAGGGTGGAAGATGGAGTCCCAGGTGGGACTGAATCTGAATCTGAAGACTGTCTGGGTTGGGCATGCCTCACAGTGGAAGAGAGGGGTCTGAGCCCCTGGGAGACGTGGGGATGGGGTATGATTGGTATTTATGTGTCTGGGTCTGGAACTGGGTATGAGATTGTGGCTGGAGGTAGACTGGGGAGTGTGAGTCCACAGAAGGTTTCAGAACTCCCAGGCACCTGTGAGACCTTCCAGAGACCATGGGGGGATGGGCTTCTGATGAAGAGAGGGGTCCTCATGGGCCACAGAGGCAGAAAGGGGACCTGTCACAGGGAGCACCTGACGGCATCCTTGGCTCACCTTCCTCTTCCCAGCCTGGCTGGCCCGAGTCCCATGTGGAGCCCACGGCTGGAGGGTTCAGGCAGGGGGATGAAGGATGCATGTCTGACATGAAGTGTCACGGGGCAGCAGTTTCTTTCACTTTGAGGACGACGTAGTCACAACTTCTAGGCCCGTGCAGCGGCCGAGGTGTAGTTTGGCTATCTTGGGTGTGGAAGTGCATGGTGGTCGCTGTAGCCTGCTCTGGCTCCTCAAGGTCCAGCTTACATGGTCGAGAATTGTACCTCTGCTTAAGGAAATCTCCCAAGGCCTTGACGGATGCCCTGGGGACCACCTGAGTCCCTGGCCACATGGCAGAGGGAGTACAACGTGGGCATGGCCTCCTGTCCCCTGGGGAATTGCAGTCCAGGGACCAAGGAACATATGAACATATGTTAGACTAATCTGCACTGTGAGGCTAGGCAGCATGTTCTCAGCTTGGGCCCAGCTTAGAGCTCCTCGATCCTCATAGCCTTGAGTGGGAGGTGGCTTGGACCCCTATATCCTCTAAGCATGAGGCATCCCAGCAGATGAGGTTGTCCTGCCAGGACCCTTAGCCTGAAGAAAGCCCCATGGCCAACAATGACATCCTTCCCTTGAGGCTCTGGGGCCTGGGCATGTGCTGCCACCCAACGCTGCTGTGGCATAGCTGGTGCCTTATTTCTGTGTCTGCTTTCCTGCCTCTCATGACTGAGAGACTCTTGTTCTCAGGCTTCCTACTAGGATCAACCCATGCCAGCTCTCCTCCTGCTCCGAGCCTGGGGACACTGGAGGCAACGTGCAGCTCCAATAGCTCCTACAGAAGCTCTGCTCTGGCCACAGTGCCATGAGCAGGCTCTCTGGTGGCCATTTTCCCAGACTGTGCCCATTCAGCCTTACTGCCTAGCCCTGGAAGGGAGAGCCCACCAAGGTCACTCTTTTGTTTCCAAAGCATGACATTGGTGTCATCAGGATTAGAGGCATCTTTCCCTCCTCCTTCTTGTCTTTGATACCACCCCCAGGACAGCACCTGAGCAGGGCCAGGCAGAGGCTGTGAGGCTGGGGCAGGAGGAATATGTATGCAGGGGGGACAAGTGTGGGTTCGGTCTTGCAGCTGCCCAGCCCCTCAAGGGACTGCCAGCCTGCTGTAGTTGGGCTCCAGTCCCCCACCCAGGTCCCCTGACCTCTGTGTCGAGGGAGCAGACCTTCTCTGTCCCCACCTGCCTCTGTCTCTTAGCTGTATCTGATGCTCTGGGCTCTATGTGACCTGTTACCCTAGACTCTCCTTCCTCCCAGGACATCCAGCCACCTTTCCATCCCATCTACCCATCCATCATCTATCCATCTATATGCACCCACTCACGCACCCATACATTACCCATTCATCATCTGTCTATGTATCCATGTATGCATCCATTCACCCATCCATCCATTCATCATCTATCTACCCATCTATCATTTATTTATATCTATCTATCTATCTATCTATCTATCTATCTATCTATCTATCTAATCTGTAATCTCATTCATCTACCCACTGACCTACCCACTCATGCATCATCCATCATCCATTCATCTGCCTGCCTTGAAAAATTTCTAAGGCTATATCAGAAGGTAAATTCTTATTACCAGGATTTCTTGGGGAAATAGTGTGTGTGTGTGTGTGTGTGTGTGTGTGTGTGTGTGTGTGTGTGTGTGTATACACACTTGCATATGTGTGTGTGTTTTGATATTTGCCAAACAATTCTACAAAAAAAGTAGTTCCAACTTTCATTACTCCTTAAAAGCAAAAATAGAAACTAACCCATACCTTCCAACATGAGATATTATCAGACTTCAAAAGTATGTTTTTTGCTCCTCAGGTGGAGGTCATGTGCCATCTTGGTCTGCATGACTTTTGGTGCGAAAGGCCAAATGTGCCTTCTCAGGTCCCCAGCTCTCGGTGCATCTCTTCCTGGCTGTTCATGGGGCTGGTTTGTTTTCCATCGGATTCTGTTTTTTTGTGCTGATGTGTGTGAAGCTCTCCTTCACAATGCAGATATCTTCAACTTTGTCATCTGCATTTTTTACTTTGTCTATGGTACTTCATTGTTTAGAATATTCTGCTTATTTTTAAAAGTCCAAACACATTCACTCCTGTTATTGTATTTTAATGCTCCATTTTTCATAGGTTTGACATGTATGTTGTAGGGTTGGAAGAGAAATGAGATCTGGCTTGCCTCTGTGGCCAACGAGTGCATTGTCATAGCACCATTCCTGGCAGAAGCATCTGCAGGGATGAATACACACCCTCAACATCCTGTAAATCCCCTTCTCTTTCTGGAATCACAGCTGCATACAACTCCTCTTTCTATCTCTTCTTCAATTCTGATGATGTAGTGATGGTGACTTTGCAGTGGGTGTTGGGATGCTGATTGGCTCTCCTTGGACAGATAGTCACCCCCAAGGCAGCCTCTCTGGACAGGTCGACCTTGCAGCACAAGGTGCAGGGCTGCCGATTTGCTGCTAGCAAGACCAGGTTCTGAACAGGGAAGCTGTTTCAAACACTGCTCACTCTAGCCAGAGAGGCCTTCAGACTCAGGAGTCTAAGAAGCCATCTCAGTACAAGTCATGTTTATAGTTCTGTGCATAAGGAGAAATCATGGTGTTGTGTTGCCAATGTGTGGTTTTTGTTACCTAGATATTAAAAATCACTGTGTCATCATTTGGGACCAAAGCAGGGCATGGCAGCCATGTACTCAGCCTCTGAGGCTTTCTGAGCTCCTGGTGCTCCAGCCCTTGAAGGTGGTCTTCCGTGGTCTGCCCGAGCTGCAGGGCATGGGTATGTTTGTGGCCACGCCACCGATAGCAGACTGTGGGAAGGCAGTTGGCTTTGCCAGGAGGCTGAGTCACATCAGATATCTCCAGAGCAGCCTCTGCTCCTTAGGCCCCAAAGCTGTTTCTGTATAAACTGCTGAGAAAGCAAAACACAGGCGGGCGGGAAGAGGCTATCTCCAGGCGGGACCCCTGCAGTGGAACAGGCTCCCAGGACCAGCTGCCATACAGCTTCGGCTGCCTGAATGGCACACTTCCTTCCCAGGGGCACCACTGAGAAGTTGTTGAGGACATGGGTAGCATGGGAAGCAGGCCATGGCGTCTCAGTGGACATGTGTTCAGACACCGGGTTGCTCTGAGCACCCTGACTGTACCCTGCCTGTTCCAAGGTCATTACGGCACTGTAAGAAAAATCCAGCCACTGCCTAGGAGTAATGGAGAAGAGAGGTTCATAACCAGGCTGGCTGCAGGGACTCTAGGCGCCACAGGGTTGGCTGCACAGAACCCTGCTGCATCCTGGGTGGGGATTGGGAGGTGGTCACTATGTCCCCTCCATTCTATGACCCACTGGGACATGGTTCTGCACTTGACTCATGGCTCACTGGCCAAGGTGGGCGCCCATGCACCTGGACTCAGCCTGGGGACCTGGAGTGGGTCTGGGAGCCACACTTGTCCGCCTGGACCTAGACTTCTGGGTCCCACTGGGGTTCCTGCCTCAACACCAGCCTCTCCCTCTTGACTCCATCATGGCCCCAGCAGCCCAGACCTGACAGGCCCCTAGCTCCTGCACTACGTCCACACAGGTAGCTTCTTGGGAAATGTATGTTTCTCCAAACCCCAAGAAAAAGCAGTTGAGACATTCAGAAAATGGGGGAAAGTATTATAATTCTGCTGCACATCCAAGCCCTTCCCCACTTGGTCCTAACCAGGCCTCCTCCTCCCCTCCCTACCTGCACATGACTGCCTCCCCCACCCCCACCCCACATGGACACCAGGTATGGCGAGTCCTCAGGAGGTGTCCCCCAGTGAGCACTTGCTGCAGCAACCTGAGAAACTGCCTGCTTTGATCCCTGCTGTCCCTGGCATGATCTATCTGGGCTCAGCCCTTGTGCTCCTTTGTTTGCAAGGCGTACTTGTGAGGACTGGGAGGTGTCCCATCAGACCAAGTCTCTTGCTCCTGCTCACCTGGCCCTGGGCACAGAGGGCTCCTTTCCACCCACTCCTTGCTCCCTTTTGTACTTTCCCAAGGCTGAGCCCAGGGCCCCAGGCACACCGCCTATGAACCCTGAGTTCAGCAGGCCTCTGGTCCTCCTCACGGCCCAAATTAAGTCTGCCACCCTAACACTGTATGTGAACAGGAAGGGCTCAGTGCAGGTCAAACTGGACCCTCGTGTAGTCAGGCTGGGACAGCAACACACTAGGTCAGGGCAGGACTAGCAACACACATCTGCCTGGCCAAGTCAGCATGGTCACGGCCAGTCAGTGGACCACTTGCATCACTGGGGAGGTTATAAACATTTGTGAAGGGGCCAGCCAGGAAAGGCCTCATCAGGAATTGTCAACCTGATCTCAGGGCCCAGGGACGGGCCTCTGACCAGGGTCGTGGCTGGGGTGTGTAGAGGGGCTGGGTAACCCAGTGACTGGTGTGCACATGACTCCCTCCTCAGCCTGGCTAGGGATGTTGGTGGATGCTCAGAAGGCCACGACTCAGCCCAGATCTAGGGGTGCCCACCCAGAAGGCCTGCAAGGGAGGGGCCTAGGGCCAGCTCTGGAAACCTTGACCTCACACAGGGGTCCTCATGAAACATGGTAGGGCCCAAAGAAGCTGGCAAGCAGCCTTGGGTACAGACAGGGCATGTGGCTCAGTGGCAGGCCAGGTTCAACCACAGAAGACACTGGGGTGGCAGCACTGGGGAGACAATGGGAGAACCAGCCCAGGCAGGACCCAGAAGGGACCCCCAAGGAAGGCCAGTCTGGGGCCCCTCTGGTGGGGAAAGTAAGGGCAGGTCGTGGAGACTTGGGGAGTCCCCAGCCAGGAGCTGAGACTGACCACAGCTTCTAACACTGGCACCCACGGCCCCACCTGCACCAAGGGTCCCCCTGGGTTTCAGCCCTCTGAAGTCACTCAGAAGAGGTCTACATGTGCGCCCAGTCCACTGGGTGAGACCCAAGGGTGGGTCTTCTTGTGTGCTGTGGGACCAAGGCCTTGTGGTCTGGAGCCCACAGCTCTTGGGAAGGATGGTGGTTTGGCTAGGGGGGCTTGGGCCCAAGGGGTGGATGAGGCCTGGAGTCCAGTGGGCTGTGTCCATCTCTTTGCAGGGTGAGGCTGGCCCCATAGGACCTAAAGGATACCGAGGCGATGAGGGCCCCCCGGGAGCTGAGGTGAGTACCATACCCACCCCCTCCTGCCTGCTGGGTGGGAGGCATACCCTATCCCTCCCCCCAGCTCTGGCACCTCACCCCATGGGCCCTAGTGTCCCCCTCCCACTCTACCTTTTCCCTACCCTGGAACTGCTTCCCTCGAGGGCTCTGTGCCCAAGCTGCATTGTTCATGCTACCCCTTCTTTCAGGGTGCCAGAGGAGCCCCAGGACCTGCCGGACCCCCTGGAGATCCAGGGCTGATGGGTGAGAGGGTGAGTTTCCAAGGTCAGCGGCCTTACTGAGCTGACACCCAGCTGCCAGAGGCCCTGGAGAGCCCCCAGCCTGGCCTTTGGGGAGGAGTGTGCCTGGACCAGGGCCACCCTCCACGGCCTCACTGGCACCTGGGTATGAGTACATGAGCAAGCCCCTCCTGCTCCAAGGTCCAGGTCCAGGGATAGGCCATGGGGGCCAGCAGGGCAGACCTGGGAGAGAGGGAGGCCTTCTTCCAGGCTGATCGAGGGACCCCAGGGCACAGCATTCCTGGGTCTGCGATGGCCAGAAGATGTCCTGGGCCTGGGAGGTTCCCATGGTAACAGCCATTCTACTCCCTCAGGGTGAAGACGGCCCTCCCGGAAACGGAACTGAAGGTTTCCCTGGCTTCCCCGTAAGTGACCAGGGACCCACCCACAAAGTACCCATCACACTACCTGCAGCACCCTCTTTGGCCAGCTGGATACTTTTGGGTGAACACCACTGGCCTAGGAATTTGCCGACTGGAATTCCTCCAGTCCTGGGCCCCACCTGCGACTCCCTCCCATGTCAGAGCCATGCGTAACTGTTCCATCTCTCCTCACAGGGCTATCCAGGCAACAGGGGCCCCCCTGGGATAAACGTGAGTACACTCCATCCTCTGCCTGCTGTGGGTGTGTGCACAGATTCACACCCCCACATGTATGTGAGACTCACAGTGCACATGTGCATGCACATGTGAACACTCACAAATGTGAAAACAGGCTCACATGCAACACATGCATAGGCAAACACATGGACACACATAGTGCACACACGCACACATGCACGCCCACTTGGGTCACTTCTCTGTGGCCACACTCCCAGTCACTGGCAGCCTTAGCAGAAGCCCAAGCACATGACCAAGGCCCAGCCAGTTCCCACCTTGGTGTGGCCAATGGGTGTTTTGCAGAGCCCGGGGGACATCTGGTGATGATACCCCTGTGGGTGCACAGGGCAGAGCCAGTCCCCAGAGCCCACACTGCACCTCCCCTAAGCCTTTGTGTGTTGTCAGTCAGCCACTCCAGACCTCAGTTTCTCCCCAGGAAATGGGGGGGGGGTGTGAGAGGAGGGTGCAGAGGGACTTCATCTTTATTTTTTCCTTTTAAAACTACTTCTTAAAAAGAAAACAAAACCCACCATGATCTCACTAACCTGAGTCTTGTCCTGTCACTGCAGGGCACGAAAGGCTATCCTGGTCTCAAGGGGGATGAGGGGGAAGCCGGGGACCCTGGAGATGATGTAAGTACAGATGGGGGTGGGGCCAACCTGGGGCATGTGAGGGCCCTGTATCAGCCCTGCCATGGAGCATCTGGGTGGTGGGCCAGGGCCAAGTGAAAGGGGCATCTTGTGGGTACCAGCTGCTGGGCTGTCTCTGGATGGGAGCCTGAGCCCCTGAGCCAATGCACCAGCACCGGCTCTGTCTGTTGATGTGATGCTGTTTCCTTCCAGAATAACGACATTGCACCCCGAGGAGCCAAAGGAGCAAAGGGGTACCGGGGTCCTGAAGGCCCCCAGGTGGGTGACTGTAGCCTGCCAGGCCAGGTGGGGCAAGGGTGGGTGGGCCATGCCTGGGACCCGATGCTGGGGACTAGGGATGGGGCATGCAAGGAGGGTCTGATAGAGTTTGGGGAGCAAGTTGTCTAGGAAGGCTAGACTTTGATAGGTAGGATCAGAGAGAGTCATTCTTGCGAGGGGTGGCTCACAGGTGGGAGGGGCTGGGCCCCAGGGTGAGGTCACAGGCCAAGGGCAGCACTGCACACCCTGGGATAGTCACCTCAGCCAGGGGGCAGGGTGGAGTCTCTCCCAGCCCCACTGTGAGACTTCTCGGCTGCCCTCACAGAACCCCTTGTGGGAGGGTGGAAGTAGGCATGGGGAAGGGGTGGGCCTGAGGGCAGTGCCAGGACCTCAGGGGATGGCAACTCCAGAAGTTCAGGAAGCACGTGGGCACCTCACCCCCAAGAGCCTCTCTCTGTTGTTTCTCTGGCAGGGACCCCCAGGACACACGGGACCACCAGGGCCAGATGTAAGTGGGGTCCTGCAAACACCCTGAAAGGCTATGACCTCAGATCCCATAGGGTGGGGACCCCATCCACAGAAGCCATGTGCATGCTGCTGACAGTTGGGGATTGCTCATGGAAGGGGGCCTGGTGCTTGCGTGCCAGACCACGGGGTACATGACGACCACGGGGGGACATGAGACAGCCACATGTTGGAGACCACACCCAGGAGCCTGGCCCTGTGACGGGGCCTAACGGGCAAAGCTAGGCACATCCTGTGAAGAGGGAGCCCTCTTCCCAACCCAGCCTTGAGGTAGCCCCGAGGAGGGTGACCCGGAGGCCCTGCCTTGCTTGGAAGCGGCCTTTGGTGCCAACGCCCTGGTCTCTCCCTCCTCAGGAGTGCGAGATTTTGGACATCATCATGAAAATGTGCTGTGAGTGTCACCTTCTTAATGTCCTAGCTAGAAGCTCAGTCCTGCCTGCCTTTTGCTCCTGGATGGGAGGGAACCAGGGGGCAGCACCCAGTAGGGCTGGTCACAGGCCCAGCCAGGAGAACCAGGGGCCCTCCCCCAGGAGGGCACAGCCATGGCCCCATCTCTAGTGACAGTGGCAAGAACCTTACCATAGAAAAGTCCTTGGGCTGTTTGAAGGGATGCCTGGGCCAGCTCCAGCCTCTCTTGGCTTCCTGCAGCCCTCCTGGGTCCCTGGGATAGAGCCACCATATGAGGGAAGGGCTCCTAGGGAGGCAGGAGGCTGGACAGAGGGCTCAAGTCTCCCTGATTGTGAACACAACCGGGGTTTTAACTGTTCCTCATTTCCTCTTTCTCCTCTTCCTTAGCTTGCTGCGGTGAGTACCTCACTGTCACTCACAAGAGAATAACTCCTGGGGAGTATAGAATCGTGTCCAGGGTCCGTGGCAGGGTAGCAAGTGGCCCCTGTGACCACCCACGGTTTCCCACCACCCACCCATCCATTCTCGGGCCTGACCTGAGCCAGCACAGTTCTGGGATGCTGTGCCGTCCCCCTTCCTCTTTCCCCTATAACTTAAATAACCAGGGACAGGCTGGGAGGCAGGAACTGGGATCCTCTCCACAGGCTCTCGGTTGGGGGTTGAGTCGGGAGGGGCAGGGAGCATGCAGGGAAAGGCTGGCCCTGACTAACCCACCGCATAGAGGGCTTTGGGAGGGGTTGGGCATGTCTGGGACCTGAGCTTACTGGGGGAAGGGCCTTGCCTTTTCTGAGTGGTCACTGCCCACCCTGCCCATAGAGTGCAAGTGCGGCCCCATTGACATCCTGTTCGTGCTGGACAGCTCGGAGAGCATTGGCCTGCAGAACTTCGAAATCGCCAAGGACTTCGTCATCAAGGTCATTGACCGACTGAGCAGAGACGAGCTGGTTAAGGTGAGGCAGCCCCCACCCCACCGCCCGGCCCAGCCAAGCCCATGGGTGCCCAGAGCCCTAGCCCGCCCCCTTGCTAGAACCAGCTGTGGATCATGGATTGGGTCAGACCTCGCCCTCTCGGATGACTACTCAGAAGGTCCTAGGCTGTGTCCTCAGTTTACCTACTAGTGACAGGGAAACCAAGCATGCACTGGCTGTCCAAGCCCCCAGCTGCACCTGACCAGGCTGGTTCGCTTCTCACAGGTTCCAGACACAAAGATGCACCCTTCCCTTGCCTTAAGGGTCTGGAGCTTGGGGACTGAGTCCTATAGTGGCTCCAGGGCTGGTCCCTTGTGGACAGCACTCAGGAAGGCAATGTGACGGGGCTGGCATAACCAAGGGAAGAGGGGTTGGCAGGACACCCAGAGTCCTGGGGTCCCTGATCCCCTCTGGGCACTCACAGCCATCGGAGACACCCCAGGGAGGCACATGTGCCAGCCTTAGGGCCATGTACTCCTGGCCTGTGTGACCCTCCACAGTTTGAGCCAGGGCAGTCGCACGCAGGCGTGGTACAGTACAGCCACAACCAGATGCAGGAGCATGTGGACCTGCGAAGCCCCAGCATCAGGAACGTGCAGGACCTCAAGGAGTGAGTCTCCATGAGCCCCCAACCCCTGACCCCTGACCCCAGACCCCACAGTAAGACTAGCTCTACCTCTGACTCTGCAGTGGGCCTGATCCTGACCCTAGACCCTGCAGTGGGCCTGGTCCTGACCCCTGACCCTGTGATGGATCTGGATTTGAGTCTTGACCCCATAGTGGGCCCAGCCCTGACCCCTGGACCCTGCAGTGAGCCCAGCCCTGACCCTTGACCTTGCAGTGACCCAGACCCAATCCCAGACCCAATCTCAGACCCAATCTCAGACAGGCTCAGCCCCTGACCCTGGGCCCCACTATGGAGCTGGCCCTCACCCCTGACCCTGCAACAGGCTCAGTTATGACCCCTGCCCCAAGCAAACTCAGCCTCTGACTCTGAGCCCTGCAGTATGCCTAGCCCTGACCTCTGATCCAGGTCCCAACTCTGGCCCTGACCCTCTCGCCACACAGAGCCATCAAGAAGCTGCAGTGGATGGCGGGGGGTACCTTCACAGGAGAGGCCCTGCAGTACACACGGGACCGGCTGCTGCCACCCACCCAGAACAACCGCATTGCTCTGGTCATCACTGACGGGCGCTCAGACACCCAGAGGGACACCACGCCCCTCAATGTGCTCTGTGGCCCCGGCATCCAGGTGAGGTGGCTGCCCCCAAGCCATGCCCTGTTCATGTAGGAACCTCTGAGGCAGGGGAACTTTCTCCCCTGAGAGAGGAGGAGCTGGGCCGTACCAACAATGTCTGTCCCTGCAGGTGGTCTCCGTGGGCATCAAGGATGTGTTCGACTTTGTCCCAGGCTCTGATCAGCTCAACGTCATTTCCTGTCAAGGCCTGTCACCTTCCCAAGGCCAGCAGGGCATCTCACTGGTCAAGGAGAACTATGCAGAGCTGCTGGAAGATGCTTTCCTGAAGAATGTCACCGCCCAGATCTGCCTAGGTGGGCAGGGCCCAAGGCCATCACGCACAGCCTCCCCTTACCTGCCATGACCTCCTGGCTGCAGAATCAGACATCCTCAGCCTGAGAAGTGCCTCCTTCTCTACTTGAGAAAGACCGTGATGTGGTCTGTTCAGTGTTCTTGCCCCCCTTCTGAAGTCTGGGACACACCTTTGCTCACCAGGGTCAGAGCATGGGCAGGCGCCCCACATACCTGTGCAGAGCCCCAGGCTCACACAGAGATGCCACCTCCTCACATCCATGTGCACACCCATCATGACCCCCTCAGCTTGGACAGACTCAGGCCCTCCCCACCTGATGGCCACAGAGTGCCTGATCTGCAGACCTTTCTCCTCTCTGAGCCTGTTTGCCCATTCTCAGAAGGGGCCAAGGCTCTGCTCTGCCCTTCACTAGGCTGGCATGAGGACCAGGACATAGTGCCAGGGGCCATCTCTCCCCTTGAAAGGTCCACTCTTGAGTTAGGGGATGTGTCCTTCCTGGTGGGACATGGGCCCAGTAGTGACTGGCAAGGTCAGAGGTGGGCTTCCCCTAAGCTTCCTGTGAATGTTAGGAGGGCTCTATGGGCATGGCCACACCTGAGCTTGGCCATGGAACTCTTGAGGGGAGCATCCCCTGTGGGGTTGCGAGTGGAGCCACTGGGCTCATGCTGCATGGGTTTTTTCTCTTTGACAGATAAAAAGTGTCCAGATTACACCTGCCCAAGTGAGTACCTGTGTGTGGGGAGGGTACATGGGGAGGGTGTGTGGCCATGGCAGGACACTAATGAGGGGAGGGCTCAGGAGGGTCTGGCCATCACAAAAGTGGGGTCTCTCAGGGGCCCCTCTGGGGCTAGGCTGGGCTCTGGTGCTGGGCCGTACTCCTTGGGGCTCAAGCACCCTTTGGCTAGCCCACCTTGACATGTTACGGTTTTACACTGATGACTGCCACCCACCCTACAGTCACCTTCTCTTCCCCGGCCGACATCACCATCCTGCTGGACGGCTCAGCCAGTGTGGGCAGCCACAACTTTGATACCACCAAGCGCTTCGCCAAGCGCCTGGCCGAGCGCTTCCTTACAGCAGGCCGGACAGACCCTGCCCATGATGTGAGGGTAGCAGTGGTGCAGTACAGTGGCACGGGCCAGCAGAGGCCAGAGCGGGCAGCACTGCAGTTCCTGCAGAACCTCACGGCACTGGCCAGTGTGGTCGATGGCATGGACTATTTCAATGATGCCACTGATGTTAATGATGCCTTAAGCTACGTGACCCGCTTCTACCGCGAGGCGTCGTCGGGCTCAGCCAAGAAGCGGCTGCTGCTCTTCTCAGATGGCAACTCACAGGGTGCCACGCCTGCAGCCATTGAGAAGGCGGTGCAGGAGGCGCAGCGGGCGGGCATTGAGATCTTCATGGTGGTGGTGGGCCGCCAGGTGAATGAGCCCCACATCCGCGTCCTGGTCACTGGCAAGACGGCCGAGTATGACGTGGCCTATGGCGAGCGCCACCTGTTTCGCTTGCCCAGCTACCAGGCCCTGCTGCGTGGCGTCTTCCCCCAGACTGTCTCCAGGAAGGTGGCACTTGGCTAGCCCACCATACCTGGCCCTCACCTGCCCGCAGCCTCCCCATCCCCCACAAAAATAGATCGTAAAATGTGATACGAACTTTGCTGAACAACCTGTTAGCAAGGTTTTTTTTAGGGAAAAGTTTGGTGCTTTGTGTAGTGCCTCCTTGGCTCAGCCCCGAGTACGACCGTGCCACTCCTCCCACTGGGATTCCTCCTGCATCTCCCATGGGCCCTCTGAGCTCTGTGGTGCCTCTTCCAGCCAGCCTGGTCAGAAGCTCCAAGTCTGTTTTTTTTTCCACCTCTTCTTTCTGCGACTCCTCCTTGCCCTCCTCCCTTGCCCCATAGCTCGCTTTTCCCCATGAATCCTACAGAATTCTTCACTTAACATTTCCTTTACACTCAAAGTCAAAGCAAACTCTCCTAGTTAATTCCTGTGAGATGTTGCTCTCTGTCTCATTTTTGGAAACCAAGAGCAAGAGATTTTTTAAAAACATAAATCTCGATGCTCTTGCTGGTAATTGGGACCTTAGCTCCCGCAGTCCACGGGCGGCCCAGGGTCAGCAGGAGTGTGGCTGTCAATGGCACAGTCAACTGTCATCCCCACAGAATAACGTTCTTCAACCCCATGAACAAGGTGCTGTCCCTGTCGAGCCCCCATGTATGCAGAGACCTGGCCTGGACTGGACATGAGAGTCACATGTGTCTCACTAAAAACCATCCAGAGCTCTTTTTCCTAAAAACATGACCTGTTTTACATTGTAGTGAAGATCTTCTTCATATATTAATTTTATTTTTACTCCTTCCTATGTTTTTTATCAACCATGTCCAGGTTGACAATTTCTCCAAATAAAGATTTTCAGTCGCCTCTTTGTGGTCATCTCCCTGATGAGTTAAAAAATTCTCTCTGTATTTGCACCGGCAGGAGAGAGGTTCAGGGTTGGCTAGCCACCTGGAGGGACATCCATCCCCCACCCACCACAGGCAGAAGTGGGGCTGCCCCTGGCAGGACACCATCCATCCATACTCCTTAACTGCATCTTGGAGATATATGGAGGCCATGCCACATCTGTGGACAGGAGGAGCTGGGGACCCTGACACCCTGGGATGCAGGGTCAGGAGCAAATCAGGGTTCGGTGGGTTAGAGTAGGCCAGATCCAAGTTTAAACCCAAAAGGACCAGCATCAGGTCATGGGTCATGGTACTGAAAGCACCCCAGGCATTCCAGAAGGGGCATGGGTTCCTGTAGGGCCTGTGGGAAGGTGCCCTATTAGGCCCATCCCTCAGCACAGAGCCAGGTGGTGGTGGATGCTAAAGTGGGGCCAGCCTTGTTCCCACCATCAAGTGACCTTGGGCCTCAAAGGACTTGCGTGGGGCTGAGGTTCAGTCTCAAAAGAAAATTGCAGGTGCTAGGATCCCAGAATCCATGTGCTCTGTTGTCCCCTTGCAGGGCTGTCAGGAAGAGGGAGAGGGTGAGGGTTAGGTCACATGCACTGGGCTGAAGGAGGTTGGCTGGACAGCGTGCAGGACAGGACACCTATCGGCACTGGGCAGGGTGGGCAGGATAGCCTCCCAGAGGTCCTCCTGTAGGGACCCTGGCAAGCCAGATGCCTGGGGCTGGGTGGGGACCCCTCCCTCAAATATCTCACATAGCAAGGACATGAGAGCCACAGGAAATGCTGGGACCCTCTCTGGTGGAGAACAAGCGCCCATGTGGACCTAGAGGGATAGGGTGCAACAGAGGCAGTGAAGCCCCCCTGCATCCCACTGCCATCCTCGCTTTGGCCCCTGTGTGGCGCGACAGCTCCCCTCCCTCACCAGGGCCACCCCTGCAGTGGGAGCCTCACGAGGGCCCACCTGCTCTGTGAGCCCCCCCATGGCTTCCCTAGGGCCCCTGGTCCCCATTCCACCCCCAGGCCTGTTCTTCCAGATTCTAGTTTCTTACCCACCACCTGTGACCCCTAACCTCTCACTTCAGTTTTTTCACCTGTAAACTGGGCTTATAACACCATAGTGCTCAGCTGAGTGAGTGGTGGTGGGGCCCAAGGCTCCCTGTGCCCACTGTGGCCAGCAGCCCGGTGCCCAGCAGGAGCTGAGGGGAGGCCAGAGGTCGGCAGCAGCTGTGGAGGAGAGCCTAGGCCTGGAGGAGAGCTCAGGGAGCCAGTGGGGGCCTCTCCCTTCAGCACTCTCTATGGAACCATTTCCCCATGGGCTCCACAGCCACCCCATGGACCCATTCTTCTGGATTTCAGTTCCTTTCCTACCACGTGTGGCCATGTGGCCTTGAGCTGAGCCCCTAACCCCTCGTCTCAGTTTTCTCACTTGTAAATGGGGCTCATAACACTGTAGGTAGGAATTGCAAATTACCAGTCTAGAAATCTTTGAATTCACTTATAACCTGCAAGCCCCCTCTTGGAAATGTCCCTCCTTCTTGAGCCAAACCAGTGAAAATCTCACAGGTACTTATGATTTTTGTAACTTCTGCCTTTCTAAAATGTATACAAACCAAACTGCAATTCAGACACACTCTCAAGTCTATGTCCCAGGTCTAGGTCTTCAAAGCTGGCTCAGAATAAACCATCTTAAAATACTTTACAGAATTTGGCATCTTTTCATCAACAGTTAGAAAATAAATACCTTTTCTGTTTTTCATCCCCGAATCCTGGGTACTCCTGCCATATTTTTAGTGAACTTTCCCTCCCCCACTGCTGAAACTGAGTGAGGAGGGTGCACCCTCCTTCCTCCTGTGAGGAGTAGGGGCAGCTCTTCCCCCTCTGTCTGCACACTGGCTTTGCATTTGTCCTGGGATGAAAGCCTCTCCTCCACCTCATGTCGGAGCCCTCGGGGGCCCCCTCGCCACCATGCAAAGTCCCAGAGTAGGGTGGCCCATCCTGGGCTCCAGGGCCTGCCTACCCATTTCCATTCTCCCCTTCCTAGCTTGGACCTGCTCCAGGAGCGAAGAGAGGATGGGAACCAGAGTCTGCACCCTCCACACCCTATCCACCCCACAAGCAACAGCACTTCCTCCTCCTCCCCTTCTGCACTCCCCATCCCAGCTTCAACACAGACATGTTGCCCAATGGATTTCTGAAGCCCCCACTTCCTGGCTCTATTTAGACTGGCCCACGCCACTATTTATATCACTTTGTGTCACTCCTTCCAGCTTCAAATGTGTCTGTTGTAAACCCAAAGCTCCTTGAAGAACTACCTACGCACCCCTCCTCCTCCAACCTTTTGAGGGCATTTTCTCTTTTCCCTGCTTCTGTTGTGATGACAGTTGGAATCGAATCTGTCCATCCAGGCTCTCAGGAGGAAGCCGTCTTTTCTGGAGTCTGTCCTAATCCTGGGTCCTGCCTGTTTCCTGTCACTGTCACAGACCACTGGATTCACTGGGGCTGCTCACCCATCTCCCACCATCTCCATTTAGTTTGGGTCCAGCGTAACCAGCAAGCACCTCACTGACCACAACTCAGCCTGGGCCTTAAAATAAAATTCCCAGAGTGGACTGTTTCAGGCACACCTTCTCAGAGTCAGAGGCTGCTGCGGATGGAAGCCTTGTGTCCTCCAAAATCCAGAGGTTGACACTCTAATTCCTGGTGTGGCTAGATTTGGAGATGGGGCCTCTTGGGATATAGTTAAGGTAAAATGAGGTCATAGGAGAAGTGCCCCGATCTGAGAGGACTAGTCTCTTTATAAGGAGTGACACCTGAGTGTGCCCTCCCGCTCCACTCTTTCTCTGTCTTTCTCTTTCTCTATTCCTCTCCATATCATTCTCCCTCTCTCCCTCTTCCCCCGTCTCTCTCTTCCTCTGTATGTTTCTCTCCCTCTCTTTCTCTTTCCCTCCCTTTCTCTGTCTACCACATGAAGACACAGCAAGCATGTGGCCAGCTGCAATCCAACAGGAGAGCCTTCACCAGACACCAGCTCTGTCAACATCTTGACCCTGAACTTCCAGCCTCCAAAACTAGGAGATAATCAATGTCTTCTGTTCAAGCCCCCTGGTCTGTGGTATTTGTTATGGCTGCACTACTGACTAACATTGAAGGATGCTGCCACACCTCCCCAAAGAGGTTTCCCTTCTGCCTGCTGTGTACCCAAGGTGGGCCTCCAGTCAAACTTTACCAGCAGACAGCATCCCTTTGTTAAGGCTTTTCTGCCAGGGCTGTTTTCCTGTGTTTTGTTTACTTTTCTCCTCCTCCTCCTCCTTTCCTCTCCCCATCCTCTGTTCTCCTGTTCATACCTTTTGCCCCTTTGGCTTTTTTACAATCCTCATGTCTTTTCTTTATTGGAATCATGCATGTTATGGCAGGCCATGGTGGGAGGGAGGTGCTCAGAGGAGCAAGGTCTTCATGGAAAGGCGCTTAATCCACCTTGGAGTTAGAATCTCTCCTTGGAGTTGTCTCGAAACAGCCCAAGTTCCTGAGGAGGTGCCCAGTGTGCTCTTGCCAGCTGTTTCCCTGGACTCAGCCAGAGGCCTCTGCCCCTCCTCCCTGAATCTCTCAAGTGCCCACAGGGCCACTGGGCTCAGGTGTGTGTCCTACGTTATGCTGGCTGAGCTGGGTTCGGGGGCTGGGGAGTATGGGGTCTGTGCCACCTCCCTCTCCACCAAACAGGGCTCTTCCTGTAGATTTGGGAAGGAATCTAGTCTCCTCCTCAGTTACACGACACCCCTCCACACACATACACAAACACTCCTACTTAGTCTCCTGAGACTAGGTAGGATGTAGTCATTACCCAGGCTCCCCACAGGCCCTGAGGGTGCATGGAAAGCAATGGGCTCGAAGTTGTATATAGTAAGCACATAGTAAGTACTCCTGGCATCATTAGCATTCCAAGTAAGCTCTTGTTCATCAGATCATCTCTTACCTCTGACTTACACTGGCAGGGCAGAAAACTCCCTGTAATGCCTCTGCGGAGTTTGCCAGGGATCCCAGCCCCACCCCCAATCTGCCTTTCCACCAGCTGCCCCATCCCCAAATTTGTAAAACCCAGACTCTGTGGAGGGTGAAGTTTCACCTTCTAATCCCCTGACAGTGGCTCACACCAGTGCCCGGTACAGACCCTCTTCCCAAGCCCACTCTCAGAAGAGGGAGCTGCAGCCAGACCCCTGCCCAGCAAGCTCCACCTGCTGCCCAGCTTCGAGGGAGGGACCGGTCCAGCTGCCACAGCCTCCGGCCTCCACCCAGACCATCTGTCCCACCTCTCCATCCCATATGCCTTATACCCGGGCAGGTGACGTCTGTTCCTAAAACCAGGCTGTGTGTAGAGACCAGAGAAGAGGGCAGGTCTCTCATCCTGGAATCTGGGAATGTGGCTCCCACATAGAAAAGGGCTTTGCAGGTAGGACTGAGGCAAGCAGTTTAGATGGAGGTTATCCCGGATTATCTGGATGGGGCCCCTGGTCACCACAGGGTCCTGAAAAGAAGAAGGCAGGAGGATCAGGAGCAGACCAGAAGGTGGAGGGGGGCCGGGCTGGCAACTTCTAGAATCTGGAAAAGGCTGGAAAATAGATTCCTCCCTGGAGCCTCCAGAAGGAGCCAGCCCTGCTAGGTCCTGTGGGCCTTCTGACCTGCAGAGCCATGAGGGAATACACTTGGGTGTTTGCTGCCACCACCCATGTGGTGATGTCCTACAGCAGCTGTGGGGCACTAACAGAGATGACGGTCCTTGCTGCATGCAGCCAGTGGGCTTGGATGGTCTCAGCACTTTCTTCTCCCGTTAAGCCTATGAAAATCCACCCAAAGGTCCAGAACACACACATTGCCTCTTCATTGGTGCTGGGGTCAAGGAATGATGAAGTGATATGTTTTTGGAAATGAAGTTTAAGTTGTTTGTGATCCCCAAATTCTGAACATGGACTATGTTACCTTCT